TACTAGGTATGGGGGAAGCGAAGTGCTTCCTCTTTTAGACTGAGGAAAGAGGATCTCCTCCTAGTATTTCTTCTTTCCCTGTTCATATCCCTGACCTCGTGAGCCCCTACGTAACTCCTTTCCTTCCTACCTTAGCACACAGCACTGCTAAGGATGGGAACCAGGAATTCTGACATGGGTCCAGGCCCTCCAGGATTGGACAAATTTTTTGTAAAGAGTTGCAAGCTGCTTTTACTTACTCATTTTGTTTTTGTAAAATATACTCATTTTCTTTTTATGTTAAACTCATGATAGGGCTATTTTATTTTGCTTAAGATACAGAAAATAACTAGAAATGGCTGTGATCCTAAAAGATTCCACTCCTTCCCCCACTTGGAACAAAATACATGCATACTTGAAGAGTTTGAAGGAGAAGCTATTTTGAAATTAGGATAAACCAGAAAAGCTTACAGAGCTTTTAGTCTTTGGTTAAAATTTTCTGGGATATGATAATAAGAACATTAAGTTCTTGGGCGAGTTGTTTTGTGAAAGGGCCTGAAAACCAGACTTTTGATAGGAAACTGTGTTGGTAGAGCGGCTGGTTCTACTACATACTGGGTGCATCTACATGCATCTCTACAGAGCCTTTGTTACTGTGCTGTCATTTAGGACTTCCTTTAGGACTTCCTTTTGGAAGTCCTAAATGACGGAGCAGTAACAGCCCGTATTCCACCGTGCTGGCAGTGCATGGTTTTTTTCTGCTACTATGGCACCACAGCAACACACAACACTGAGGGAGTGTGTTGCTAGGGTGATGTAGCTGCAGCGTCACAGTTTGAGACTGCCAATGCTGTGTTGCCATAGTGTGTTGCTATGGCAATATATTGTCTTGTGTAGACGTGCTCACTTACTTTTTGACCACCTGATTTCAGGTGAACCTGGCTTGTGTCCTTGTTCAGCAATTCTTACTCTTTTCTCACTCTTTATGGTTCATGCCCCCCATGGTTTGTTTTTATGAACCTCAGCTTTGGAGGACTGTCCTTAGCATGGTGATGCCTTATCTATCTTGATGAAATCTCTTGTTTTGCTGGTTGCTCAGCCTAGGTGAATCTGGTATGACAATGTGATTTGAGTTTCTCCTAAACCTAGAGCAGGAGAGGGACAATATGCATTTCGAGAAGATAGTTAAGAAGGCTTCACCTTTCTGCTGTGTTATACCTTCATGAAAAAGTGCCCAGGTCTGTTGTGTCTTAATGAACCTTTTAAAATGCTTCAATCCACAGAAAGCAAGCATCACCATTTAAAACATTGTCCCAACGGCAAGGAAGCACTGAAAATAAAAAGCATTTTGTTCATGGCTTAAAACTCATGTCACCTAATATCTATAGAACTCCTATAACAGAGTCTGGACAAAAGAAAAATATCATTCAGTGCTAAGTGATAACTAAGCCTACATTTTAAATTTTGATATAAGAGAGCAACATCTTTTATGGAGCATAACAAACATTGACGCGATAAGAAATAACTGCTGGTCTGCTTGCTAGAACACTGGATTAGCCAATAGAACTTTTCTGTCCATAAAGAGAGACAGCCTTTTAAAATATTGAATTCCTGAGTTAAAAAAAGATGAAAATTACTTTAAAACAACTGAGATACTACACTGCCCATGTCAGTAATGCTAAGTTCAAGAAACAGCATAGCTTGCTTAGAAATGGTTATACTTTTTAAATTCAGAAATTTCATAGCTTGTGGTAAGAATCACTTCTTAATGTCGTATTTTAGGGTACCAGGCAAAATAAGTATATATTTTATCTGAAATCACACTAGGTACTTAACCATAAATGCCTGCACTTACATCTTCAAAAAGAGGCTAGATAATCACCTTGCCAGGGTCATTTGACCCCAGCATTCTTTCCTTCCCATGGCAGAGGGTCGGACTTGATGATCTGCTCGGGTCCCTTCCTACCATATCAGCTATGAAACTAACTATGAAACAACTGTCTTAAGAGTGTTAGATATTTTGTTAATACATGCATTGTAGTTGTTTTTATGGTGCCAGTTATTGTAGCATGAATACTAACCATGGTGAGATTCATCCATATTGGAGTCCGCTCTCTGCTATGTTTAAGGACATAGGGATGCAAAATTAATTAAGGTAGGCATGCTGGGTGTGCCTACACAAGACGTTAATTGTGCAATGGCATCGTTTACTGCTCAGTAAGCATGTGAGTCAACAGATGCTTGCTATGCAATAAGCCTTGCTAATCATGAGTAAATTTGCTACCTGCAAGAGCAAAGAGCAAATTTACTTTAGATTAGTAATGGCGCAGTAGTGCTTCTGTAGACGCCTGACTGGGACAAATCTGCTCTCGGTCAGCTGTCCACAAGCGGGTAGAAGATTGGTCCCTGCCTCTAGGAGCTACCTGTTGCCAGGGTGGGCTCTGCCACCAGAGGCTGGGTAGGGACTATGTCCCCTTGGCCTGGCAGCAGGGAGCTCCAAGCCCCTCGCTCTGAGATCACAGTCGAGGAGCGGGGGCTAGGAGATCCTTATTTCTCAGTACCCACTCTGCCATTGCAATCTGGCAGATGCTTATCTCTCACTGCTAGCTCTGCGACCGTGGAGCCGGTACCAGGAGATAAGGGTCTCCCAGTGCTGGCCTCACAGCTGCGGAGCTGGTGCTGGAAGAGAAGGGTTTCCCAGTACCAGCCTCATGACCACAGAGCTGGCTCTGGGAGATAAAGGTCTCCAAGCGCCAGCCCTCTGGTGTGGAGCTGGCACTGGGAGTTCCCTGCTGGCAAGGGCAGGGGAGCTTGATCTCCGCCCAGCTCCATGAGTGTGGAGCTGGGCAGGGAACAGGCTGGGGAGCTTGTTCCCCACTCAGTTCTGTAACCACGAAGCTGGTTGGGGAACAAGCTCCCCAGCCTGGTCCCCACCCAGCTCCATATTCACAGAGCTGAGCGGGAAACAGACTCCCTAGCCTCCACCCTGTATCTGGGGTCCGAGGCTGGGAACTGCCCTGATCAGGGGCAGGTCCCAGCCCCCTGTCCCCATTGGGTGATTGTGGCACAGGGCTTGGAAAGAGGTGTAGGAGTGGGGTAGTCCCATCCCCCTGCCTCCAATCTGCAGCTGGGACAGCTAGCAATGAACTAGCTGCTAGCTGCCCCACCAGCAGATTGGGACAGGGGACTGGGACCTGTCCTTCTCCAAGTCCCCTGCCCGTGATCAGGGGAGCCAGGGCCAGGAGCTCCCTGCTGGCAGGGCAAGGGGACATTGTCCCTGCCCTGGCAGCAGAAAACCCCCGGGGGCAGGGTGTAATGTCCCAACCCCAGCCAGGAAAAAAAATGTATTCTGGCCCCGGAAACAGGTTTTGGTGACTCAGGAGACAAGATTGCTCTTTTAATTGTATTTAGTAATTTTCAAAATGCAAAAGGAAATAAGCTTGTATTTTTTCATCATTGCACATAAAGACAAGATGATATTTTAAGTCAGTGGTTCTCTGCCTTCTTAGACTCAAAGCCCCCTCAGTAACTTTTCAGAATTCAGTGGCACCCCTTTCAAAAAATAAGTTACTACAATGCCTTTGCATAGACATGCACAGTTCCTTTCCCTTGGATGCACGCACACAAGTAGATGCCTTTTTGCAGCATAAGCACACAGCCTGGCTTCCTAGAGATCCCTTTGAGATTGCTGTATTGATCTGACCAATCTAACAGCTGAGGCTGCTGCACTGGGGTGAGACCGTGAGAGGAAGGGAGGCAGCCTAGGTTTCCTTAGCCCTGGCCATTCACTGCCTGCATTGGCTGCTGTTGTTTTTATTGCCCCTGGAGCTCCCTGCTGTGCTGCGCTGCTCTAGGACAGCTGCTGGTCCCTATCCTGACTTCCAGCCCTAGCACATAGATATCTCCCTAGTCAGGACATCATTGAGGCAGCAGGAAGAGCAGCTTAAAATTTATCTCCAGGCTGCTGTGCTGCCTCTGCTGCCAGGTAGAACTGCCCCACATGCCTGTTTCCAGGAGGCACAGGCAGAGCTGGATTAGGATAAGAGGGGATGCTCATAACTAATATACACAGGAGCACCCCACTCTGCTGCAGTATTTGGTCCAGCTCCACACATCTCTAGGAAGTGGAGGCACATGGGGCAGTTTTATCCGGGTGCTTATAGTACATACTGACTTTAACACTGCTTAACATTGCACAGATTTAGCATGCTCTAAGTGTCATATGTAACTTCACTTTAAATGGCAATAAATATTTTTTATCAGCTCCAGCCAACCAAGGAGTCTCACTTTAACTTTCTCTTTCAGTGGATATCTTTAGTGAGAACAGGTAGTTTAAATAGTTAGCATGTTTTAGCATGTCTGTTTACATGAACCCAAAACCCCACCCCAAAAAACAAAGAGTTATAGAAAACTTTGTACAACAGTGAGTTGAACAAATAAGCAGATGGGGATCTGATGATTTGTCTTGATTATTTCAAATCCAGATTGGAAAGAATGGCCTAGAACTGAAAAGTTCCATAAACTTGGCTGCCTGTCCTTAGATTCATTGATTCATTTTATTGTTTTGATTATAATCCTGCCTTTACTTTTTCACCAAAAGAAAGAGATGGGGGGAGGAAAATAAACTTAACCTATTCATAGGGTTGACATATAATCAGGCCCTCTAACAGTCTTAACTATTTTACTTGGTATTTTTATTGAATTCCCGAAAATACTAAAAGTCAGAATTTTTTTCAGCAGTTTTAATTTTATTATTTTAGTGTAATTAACCCTTTGGGTCTTTGGTTATTTGACTCTCCTGTGAGCTTTTGTAAAGACCATAGCAGTTCAATGCTTTTATTTCTAGTTATCCACTTATATGTGGGAGTAAAAGCAGTGTTGCCTAAAATTTACACTGACAATATAGGCTCAGCTTATAAGCAGGGTTGATTTATAAATCAAAATGCTGTATATTTTAGGGGAGTGGGTTTCTTACACTTCCTATTGCTGGCAAAAGGTAATGCAACGTTCTAACTTTTTCTTGCTTGTTTTTGCTTGCAGAAATCCGTTATGCAACTGTATATTGGGTGAAAGCTCAGAAGATATTCAAGGTCAAAGATGTATTGGACAGAAAAGGAGATGCCTATGGCTTTTACAATGACACTATACAATCAACAGGATGGGGAATTCTAGAGATCAAAGCAGGCTATGGTAGTCAGTCCATAAGCAATGAAAACATCATGTATGCTGCTGGTTTTTTGGAAGGCTATCTTACAGCACCGTAAGTGCCTGGGTAAAAATTCAGTGAGTGATTCTGTCAGGAGATCTCTCCTATGCCTTTTCTATCTTCTCCATTAACTTACCTTTTAAAATAACCATAAAGGCAGGCGACTCCAAATATTTGTGATATTAATATTTATTGCCTTTCATCCCTTGATCAAAATGTATTTTTTTCTTGACACTCACATCATTTTGCATTTCTAAATTCTATAACTTCTTGTTTTCTGTGGATTGTTACTTGGAACTTTACCTTGTTTTTGAAAAGGCAGAATAAAGGAAAAGAGATCTTTCCCTGAAAATACTGGTAAGTACCAGTAAGTAAGCAGCAGTTGCTAGGAAGCCCAGCCTGCTAATTATGCTGCTCTGAGGAGCATGTGCAGTCTTATTTGGTGTAGCATTACTTTCATTTCCCCCCTCTCCCATCCTTCCCCACACAGAGGCTTAACGTACAGAAACTGGATTTACTGTATTTCCTTGCTTATTATGTGCACCTCAATTTTTAGCAGCTGATTTTTGGAAGAAAGCTGCATGTGGTATGTGAGAAAATATGGTGTGCTAAACGATGGGTAAAAGATGAGGATAGGGTGATGACAAATAGCTCATCTGAAGCACCCCAAGCTTTGGATCAGCTAATTAGGTACTCTTCATGCACACAAATTTATCAATGCTGCAGGACCAATGAGCATAGTTCAGTTTCCCATCCCTTTGACAGCAGAGTCCCAGTAGCGACAGTAAATGGATTGCTTTGCTCTGGTTGGAACCAGCAAGGAGATGAAATGGCAGTCGACCCTACTGAACACAAGTAAGCATGGTATTGATCATACTGATTTGCATCTGCCACAGTGGCAAAATGTTGCTATGTTTTTGCCTTTTGTACGCTGCAAGTCTGGGAGTACATTTTCACAGTGACTTCGCAATTTACTGAACTGTTCGAGAAGTGAGAGCTCACTGCAGATTTATGGACTTCAGAAAAATCTCTCTGAAGGAAAGAAAATAGTCTCGCCTTCCCTGCTCAAATGTTCATGGAATCCCAGTTAACGTCAAGACAGATGCAGGTGTGCTACCCTTGGGGTATTTGCATAAATATTCCACAGTGAAATCTTGAACAAAAGCAAAGTGTCACAATCTTTATTTCCTGGAAAGGTACTTCTCCAAGAAAAAGCAGTGTCTGAGTTTTCTCCAAACAGAGTTTAAAAAGAAAGTCTGTTTATGCACTGGTTCTCTTCTTTTGTACAGCATTGACCACAGTCATTACGTGCAGCTTAACCCATTGCTGTCTTGCCCTGATAACAGCCAGCTGAAAGCATAACAGTCTCTTTTCAATGTGCTGAAGGCTTTACCTGCATAGACAGTTGCTTAGCTGTCAAGTATCAGGCTCCAGCAACACTGTTGAGAAAGACTGGTGTGTTCCATTTCACTGAACAGCACATAGATCATATCTGTGCTTTAAAATAAAGAAGAAGAAAAAAAAAAATATCAGGAAAAATTTTTATGATGAGAACAACTCTGAAGCAGCTTTTGGGGATTTTTGTGCCATATCTTATCCTTCTATTGTATAGGCTAAGGATTTGTCCTGCTGTGTGCATTTCTTAGCTTCTTTAGCTTGCTATAAAACAAAATGCCTCACAAGAAAGGGAGAATCTCCTCTCATAAGGGATTAATTTGTGTCTTCTTACCATATGTTTGTGGGAGTACTTTGGAAGCTCTGCTGGTTAAATTGAGAAAGTGGGTTAGGATGAGAGAAGTTTTTCTAGCATTGCATCCAATAATGGTGTATTATAGAGTGAAAAAGGTGTGCGGGGGCAGTGGGAGGAGAAGGGAAAGTAATTTATTTTATAATTGCTTTTGGCAGGTGGGCACTATCTGTTAGTAAACTTGTCAATAATTCAGTCACTTCATTCAGATTGGGATGAACTCTTTTGTCATTGCTTGGCTCAGAGATAGCTCTGGGAGCTCTTTCAAGAACTCACATAGTATAAATACACTTAGAATGATTAGCTCAGATTTACAAAACCGAGTGCCTGAAATTAGGCACCTAAACCCATGCTGACAATTAAACAGAAACTACTTTTTAGAGGTGCTAGTATCAAGTTTATAGGGCTAGCTGTACTTCAGACTTCCCAGCTCACCCCACAGTTGCTATGCCCCACATGTTCCCTCTTTCTGCGGTGGAATCCCATGGTTTTCCCACTCTTAGATTAGGGATCTCTTACCTCAGACTTCCTGAAAACTCCCTCTCTTCCCCTTCTTGCTCAGATGCAGCTCCTCTCCCCTTCCCTTCCTCCCTGCTCCCCTACCTGTCTCTGCCACTGCATCCTTGCTGTCCCAGGGGTGAGAGGAATTCCAGATCTGCTCCAGCTGTTCGTCTTACTTATCTCCAGCATGTACCTCCATTGGGAGCCTAGCAGTCCTCAGAACAGGAGCCATAGCATGTCCTTGCCTTCTTTATATTGCTCAATTATCAAAATGGGAGTGTAACAGCAGCAAGAGTCTTGTCCTTAAATGCGACTTAATCCCAATCTCTGAGGGGACTGGGGGCAAGACCTACTGTTCTTCCAACGCAAGTCTTCCCAACTGGTGTTGCTGTGATCAGAACCGTCCCTAGGTTACAGCGAATCGGGGCAACTGCCCTAGGCCCTGTGCTTTGGGGGAGACCCACAGAACCAAGTGGAGTGGCTGTGGCCCCTCCTGTGGGGCCCACCTGGAGCTGGCGACTCATCCCCATGCCGCAGAAGAAGCACAGAGACCCCCCTGCCACCTCTTTGTGGGGGTACCATGGCCCTGCATAGTGTTAAGGGGGCCATGCATGGACTGATTTGCCCTGGGCCCCACACTCCTTTAGGGTTGGGCTCTGCCTGTGATGAAGAAGTGACCAAGGATTATCACAGGCTTTAACAGAAGGAAGTCCAGTTAGATGGACTTCTCTCTGCCTAACTGCAGGAGACCCGGAGTTGGTAATAGTTCTCAGTATGAGGAGACAGCTTGCACTGATAAGTGACCTAGTCATACTGATTCGAGCCAGCAAGGCTGCCATTTGTGATTTTTTTGCTAGAGCTGCATGATTTTTCAGGTGCAGTGCTTAAACCAAAAAACTGGAAAAAAATTGGTTTGGGATGAATCGAACCAGTATTTTTTGGCATGTCAAAACAAAACAAGTATTTCTTGTGACTGACTCAAGAAAACTCAATTTATCCTGGAATTACTGGCTAATGGTCTATTTATTTTTTTAGGTCATTTAACCCTTTTTAGTCTTGAAAATAAAAATAGGTTAAATTTGATGTGAGAACATCATTTAAAATTGAAAATCAAAACCTTGTGTTTTAAAAATGCCAAAATGAAACATTGTCAAAATCCCTGCCTTAGTTTTTGTAAAAAAAAAAATGATTAGCTGAATTTGTATCATATTCATGAATATGTTTTTTCCCTGAAAATTGCATTTTTCAGTGACCTTACTATTTGTTGATAAAAGTTGTCTAGCTATATTCACCTCCAGTCCCCCTCCTCAAAAAGGTAGGACTACTGGCAATCTATGCGCTGCGGAAATACACGGAACCATTGTCCTTTCTAAATATACACTGTTTATAAAAAAAGAAAAACTTGACTAGTGGTAAAACTCTGTGAGATAGCTCTCTGAGTTTCTCACTAGCTATTAAATCAGCAAAATACACCTTAGGACATCGCTGCTTTCTTGATTGTAAGTGACATCAGTTCCAGTCAACTACCCATGTTATATTTCAACTAACATGCCATAACTTTCAAGATACTGCAGCACTACACACACACAAGCATGTGCTCAAGCACTCATGCATGTTAAACTGATGTTTCTTTGTCCAGATAGTTTAGTATCACCGGTCTCCTGTTTTTCCATTGCAAGACTGTTTGAGCAGAGGTTGAGCCATGTCATTTTTACTCTACAGTTCCTTTCTTTCTCTTGCAGTACAGTTTCTCTTGGAGGTGAGCAGAGCGAACTGGGGTACAGAAAGAGCTGACTTGTCTGTTCATGTATATGAAGCTAAAGGGGTGGGAAAAATTGCAGAAAATAACTTTGTCTACCCTTACTCTTTCAGACACATGCGTGATCATGCTTTAAATCTGTATCCAGAACTAATTAAGAGTCCTGCAATTCGGAGTGCAGTTGAGAAGTTTATGGGGTAGGTACTTAGTTATTAGAACTTCCATTCATGCATTCTTGCCCTCATATTTTGGAAACAGAAGAATGATGGAATTCTTAGGTCATTCATCGTCTTAGTTGTATGTTGTACAAGTAGTAGAGCTTTCTTATACACGTATGCTATTTCACGAGTAAGAATTGCCAGCAAGCTCTCAGAAGAGATTTATCATTCTTTTTATGTTGGTCCTCCAAAAAGATGTGCCAAATGTGGTATGCTTTTTCTGCACATGATGCTATGTCATCATAGTAACGCGCTATGGTGACGTAGCATCCACGGGCATCTACATGTGACCAGTAGCTACTTTGCTGTAGCAATGTGCTCCCTGGTATAGCACATTGGTATGGCAAAGGAGCTGCTAAAAATAACCATGCATTGTGCGTACGGTGCAGTATGGGCTGTTACTGCGCCATGATTTAGTACTTCCTTTTGGATGGTGCATTAACAATGTTGCCATAACGACATGTGTAGACACACCCATTGAACACTAGCATTACCCAATGTTTTATTTAATATTAATGACCCCTCAAGATTAATTGTATTTACTATATTTCCAGGAAAGTTTGTGCTGTGAACACCACATGCTTAACCATCTGGTTTCTTCTTAGGAAACAATTTTTCAGTCTGCCCTTTCTTGCCACAACTGAAGTTTGTGTGGGTGGGGTATGTCCTAGGAGGTGAAGTGTGTTCTATGTTAGCTTCTGAGTACCTGATTCTTCTTTCTTTTGCCCCTGCACAAGTCAGGAATAATTCTGTTCTAGTAATGGAGTTATACTGATGTAAGTGGGAGGAGAATCAGGCCCTAACTTGGGAGATTCAGCAACTGACTTGCTTTATTTCTCTCCTTGCATTTGTGTGCCAGTACAATTTCTATTTTCTTTCTTTTACAGTACCTGAGCCTTATGCTCATTTTTGTGCCAGAAAGCTTTGTAGGTGGCATGCTTTTCTGAGTTCTGGGCTCCTCTTATGATATCTTCTTACAACTGGAAGTAAAGGATCTCAGGGTTTTCCTACCACCCTCTTAACCTCCATCCTCACTTTCCTCGTGGAAAAGAATAAGGGGTGGCCACCATACTTGGGCAGACATTCCGCATGAGATCCTACTCTGAAATCCTACACTAAGAAATATGCATGTCTACATGTATATTTATGCCAGCTTAAATCTACTGCGCAGTAAGTAGGAATAGGCTGGTGTCTACACACAGAGGCATTAAAGTGCATTAACACTATGTGTAGGACTGGCTTGGGACAAAAATTAGTCCCAGGTCAGTCCACACACACACACATGCACACACAGTGTTACTGCCCAGTAAGGCATGTACAGATGCGTTACTGCACAGTAACCAATCAGACATAAATTTGATACCTGCGTTATTTATTGTGTAGTATGGGCATGCATGCGTAGATGCATGCTTGTACTGCGCAGTAATTTTGGTTACTCTGCAGTAAATGTGCACATGTAGACATGTCCTTAATCTCCAAAGAGATGCAGCAGAGTAGACTTAATTCAGGGAAGATGCAATGGAGTAGCAGTAAAATGTGGCTTTATAGGAGACCAATATGTTGTCTAGATCCAGGACAGCTGTGAGAGCTTCTCTGTCTCATAGAAGCCATTCTTGGGCTGTCTTGTAGTATAGAAAGCCTGTATCCCTGAGCCCTGTGACCAGGCACCCTACTGCTCCCAGTATTCTTACTAAGAGCATTGTCAGGCTATATGGGTCCTTATGTTGCTCCACCCCAGTGGAATTCTTTGGAGGCCAGCCACAGTTGTTTTATGTCCTTGCATGTTGTCAGCATGAAGAACAGAGTGAAGAGAAGCCAGGGTCTGATCCTGTCAGTGGCTCTTTAGGGATAGGTGAAGATGAAGGGAAGAAGAGCGCTATGGGAGAGTCTCATAATGATAACAATGCTTTGGGCCCATGGTCATACCCACTTTGTTGGTATGCTCTTTCAAGTATTGTATTTGTAAGGGTGG